AGACTTGTTTTCCCATCTGTTCCATACTTCACTTTGACTGAGTGTTTTTAGGGTCTTCCCACACCCTACTGCTATCCACCCCCCTCTGATATAGTCCACTAAAAAATAAAATGGCTATGGCTCTACCTTAACTACCCACAGCTGTAATAAACATTTCCCAGGAAGAAAAGGAAGTTTTGTCACAGCTCACCTTGCATCAACTAATATACAATCATTTTGTTATATAAGAAAATTTGATAATGAAGCAATTTCTTAAAAGTGTGCCATTTCATCAGGTATTTACACTTTAGGTCCTAATAGCGGCTCATCACAACTCATCTCTCTCCCTAAAAAACGTCTCTCATGTGACGATACGTCAAAGAAAAAGATTTTATTCTGAAGGAAAGGGATAAATTATAGTAATGAGAAATGAGAGCAACGGTTTAATACAGAGATTTCTCTTACGTTCATTCATCCCTTCAAGAACTTCCTGAATCTTCAATAATGAGAAATTCAAAGAAAGGCTTATTCTATTCTTCCCCCAGTGGCAAAGAGGGGCACCTTTGTGGATCCTAACAAAAAGTCCATTGAAGATATGCCCTTCCTTCCCTTGTTGCATAGCTAGGCTGGAAAGTCTGAGTGGTGATGGCTTTGGAAATACTGAAATCAAGTCAACTCAGAAAATAATTCAAGATCTAGCAATCTTCTATAGGATGGGCCAAAATCTTCTGCAACAAAGTGTGGCCTCCTTGTTACAATAAAATCTAACTGTGGGGCTTGCAAAGTTAATAAGATATGTGTCATCTCAGCTTTGAAACATTTCCAAAGAAGCAATATTCCGTTCTGTTTGTATCATGGTCTTGACCTGCAGATGAGTGCAGGGACAAAAACATGGAGGTTCTGCCATCTCCCTGGTGGCATAATAGTAGTATTAGAGCATGATTAGCCTTATTACTGGGAGGAAAAGGGAAGGATACACAGGTAATTAAGACTCAAGTGCCCTTCTCTGTGAGCGCAAATAAAACTCTTCCTGCAGCTAGAGTAATGAACATGAAAAATGATTACTGGAGGAGAGACTGAGAAGTAAAAACGCAAACTAAGGTGAAGGAGTCTGCCTCATCATTTGCTATTACAAGCTCTCTTCCCATCTTCTCAAATGGACTGGATTGAACTGGATTCTAGCACGCCCCAGACATAATGTGAATGTGGATGTAGCTAATTCAAGGCACAGAAAAACTGCAAAATTTTAAAGAGGATTGATAATGATTGAAGCTCTTAAATGCCATTGCTCAAAATAAATCATTCCTTTTGTTGGCTGTGTAACCTTAAGCAAGAGCTTTAACCAATCCAAAACAACCTATCATTAGGCAATGGTGAAGATTATGAGAAATAATGCATTTAAAGCATTTAGAACAACACCTGGCACATATTAAGCAGTCAATAAATATTACATATGATCATCAGAGGTAGTTATAGTAGGTGGTATTTTCTAAACTTATTTGGCAAAAAAATTCTTTTCTGCCCAGAGCATTTAGGGTTCCATAGAACTTGAGAAATGTTCTGAAGTACATTCAAAATCTACCAAACTCACTGTTTAGGACCTATTATTCAAAGTGTTATCACTACTTCTAATCAATATTTAAGAGACATTTGGGGGATAAAGGGGTAAAAGTTATTTTTTTGTTTTGTTTTGTTTTGTTTTTTGTAATAGACTAAGAAGAGTATAATACCTAACAAATTATACATAACAAAATCTCTATGACTCTCTTATTTATGCCCTAAGAATGTTATCTGGTTTCATTGAAGCACAATTAATAAAGTGCCTTAGCTGATCTGTAAGCATCAAATATGGGTCTATTTCCTTTCAAACTTGGTAGTCTAAAGCTCAGCACTAGACAAGCTGTAGTGCTATTACAAAAATTTTCATTATTTGTCCCGTTATTTACCTCTTTTGATCAAGTATTTGTACTTAACATTTGCTTTATAACTTATGCTGAGTATATTTGAGTGTATTACAAATAGAGTTTCTCAGTGGTTTTTAGAAAAATTCCTAGTAAATCTATAAGAACAAAGTGCCTTTCATAGAATATGTTATTGACAGTTAACAGGGAGTTAAAAGTCACCAAGGGGACACAGCACTAAGGCAACTGCTCTTACGATTAAAGCACTCTAGGGTGCAGCACTCACTGGATATTCTGCTTAAAATATAGCTATTGCAATGAGAGGATGATGTTCTCTTTCCCATACTCGTAAACATCCTCATGGTGATGGCATATTAAATAGCAAATCCTTAGTGACAGTCCATTTCAGCCCAGACTAACTGGTTTCATTACATATCTTCGCTGTGACATTTAAGAGGTCATTTGCTGGATTCTTTGGACAGCTTAAGAGCTGAAAGCAAGAAAAAACAACCAATGGCATAGTTGTTAACACTGTTCCATAGTGCCCCTTTTCTCCCTCTTTTTCCCCATTCTTTCTCCACCTCTCCTTCTCTCTTCATACTACATTTTCACCTCTATTTCTCTTCCACTCTCTTTTTTTCTGTCTTACCTACACCACAGGTCCATCCATGAAACCAACTAAACCCTGAAGGAACTGCTTAATACTGTACAGTACAGATATGGTACCTAGAAAAGGCTGTGAAGTTTGTAAAAACTTTAGTCCTCAACATTCTTTAGACTTTTAAAATAATAATCATACTGTTTAGCAATTTAAAAGAAAGGAAAAATCCTAGAAATCTGCCTATTGCAAATGTCTCCAAAATTGTCAAGTGTTCCCTGGGGGATAAAATTACCCCCAGTTAAAAACCACTGTTAACTTACCAAATCTTCCCAGCTTTAATATAAGCCCATTTCCTCTTATTAATTCCTTCAGCACTGCCATACAGGATCCTTTTTCCATACATTCTTGACACTAATTGACACAATTGCCATATTACTGGAATGTTTTTAACAACATTGCTCAGAGCAGAGTTGAGACTCTAGCTATGTAAATTGGTCTATAACAGCACTGCCCAATAAAAATGTAATGTGGGCCACTTTATGTAATTACAATTTTCCCAGAGTAGTAAAAAGCAACTGGTGAAATTTATATTTTCGTAATTGTCTTCAAATACAGCATATCTCAATTCACGTTAGCCATATTCCAAGTGCTGTATGTGACTAGTGGTTACCATATAGGACAGTGGAGATATATAATATATGTCAATGAAGATGGAAAGAAAGTAGGAACAGATCAAATACTATAGCCCTAATGTATAACAAAACAGATTTCTAGTATATTAAGCACTTATTTTTCCACAGCATTGGAAATACCACCTTGTCAAATCATATGTCTCCCAAACTCATCAATAAAGCAGACCACTATACCCCAAAGAGCCTGGAATAGGGGCATTAGTCTCACTGTCCCATCTAATCATAACCAGTCTGAGACTTGCACTATCAGCACCACTTTTCATGGAGGATCCCTGAAAAACAAAGTGACCACTATTCAGTGCACAGTAAGGTAGAGTTTGTCTATGTGTTACCTGTCTAGAAAGATATATACCAACATGCTAAAAGCAATTATGTGTAAGAATCATAACCAGTCTGAGACTTGCACTATCAGCACCACTTTTCATGGAGGATCCCTGAAAAATAAAGTGACCACTATTCAGTGCACAGTAAGGTACAGTTTGTCTATGTGTTACCTGTCTAGAAAGATATATACCAACATGCTAAAAGCAATTATGTGTAAGTACAGGGAATTATAAGTTTTCTTTTCTTTCTCTCTTGATTATCTATTTTGTGGTTTTCAACAGGGGTACTATATCCCTAAGCAGCTTTTTGGAAATGAGGGAAGTGGTAGTAAAAGTGAGTGACAAGGGCCAGAGATGCCCAAGGCCCTGAAATGCCTGGGAGGTACCAAATAACTAAGAATTAGCCTGCTATGCTCTGCATATTTGTTTCCCACCCCCACCCTCAAATTCATGTTGATATACTAACTCCCAAGGTGATGGTATTAGGAGGTGGGGCCTTCGGGGGGTGATTAGATCATGAAGGCAGAACCCTCATGATTGAGATTATATAAAAAAGACTCCAGAGAGCTAGCCAGCTCCTTCCACTATGAAGGGACAGAAAGAAGATGCCATCTATGAGAAATGAAGATATCGAATATGCCAACACCCAGAACTTAGACTTCCCAGCCTCCAGAACTGTGAGAAATAAATGTTTGTTTGTTTGTTGTTTATGAGCCACCTAGTTTACAGTATTTTTGTTATAACAGCCAAACAGGCTAAAACATAGCCTATGCCCCAAAAAGTTTTGACTGTCCAACTGAACATTCATTTATATAAATAATCTCTGTATATAATTAAATGAACCTAGCAACTGTTATACATAAAGACAAAGCATGTCTTACACTACCTTAACATACACTAAATTCCCGCAAAATAAAACTGCTATATAAATCAAGGGTCAACAGTCTGTTTTGTTGGGGTTCTACCAAAGTTGTTCACCAATTCAGAAAACTCAATCACTGAAGGTAAGACCACTTACGACAACTAAGCCACCAATACAACACACCAGTACCAATCCATTTTCAAAAATGTCAAAGATTAAAACACATATGGGTACAAATATGTATGAGGGTACTTCAAAAAGTCTAAGAAAAAATGGAAATAAAAGATAATACGAATCTTTCTATGAAGTACCCTCATACTATTTCATTATATTTTCTAGTGTACTCATGCCCAACTACACTAGAATGTGTTATAATTACTTATAAATACTGATTTCTTGTCAATTACAGAATCTTCCCTTTATTTCTCCTTTATATTTATTTCAGGTAGGGCATTATATTGAATTTTTCAAAACTATGTATAGGGAAAAATCAAGATGTAATGTGTATAAGAATTTCACTTCAAAATAGTGAAGGGGTGTTACCAAATATTTATTATGAAAAGGGTGTGTTAAGTCTGATAGGATTAAGCCAAACAATACACAGTATATACATCCTGACCCAAGTAGCTGTGAGTCACTTACCTTCCATACTTGGGGCAGGGAAAGCAATCATCATTAGCACAGGAAGAATCATCACTCCATCTACCATCGTCCAACTGTGGAGGGAAAAGAAGAGAGGTAAGTAAAACAAAAAAATCTGGCTGCAGGATTACAAAGTAAATCGAGCATACCTTCTTCAAACTGCCATTCAAGGCACTTCTAACAAATCCTCCTCACATTATTTCTTAGCACATTTAAACATACACCCTTTACATGGATCTAAGCAAATCATCTTAAGAAGTTAATCAGATTTACCTTCGACTGGTAGCCACTCTAAGGCTACTTTCTCTGAGTCTATGAGCTTACAAAGATTTCAGTAAAAAAATGAAACATTTTCAGTTGTGAGGCTGAAAATCCCAAAAGATTTTAGGTTTGAATTTTATCTTACCCTACTGAATGCAAAATTGGCACTAAATTAAAAACCCTGAGAGGCATGAATAGACTATTCTAACATGATGTTAAAGATTTAGTAACTGTATAATTCAAGCCAAATTACTATGTTTGAGCCTTCTGCCTTAAAAGGATTGAAGGTAGAGTAACCTACATCATCATACAGCCCAAAAGGAAAAACAAAAAACAAAAAAACTTATACCTGATCTATGGCAAAATGGTGCATTTCTACATCAACCTCAAATTTATTTAACAAAGGATAGACACAACTAAGGAAGACTTTTAAAATAAGAAATCATGTAAATCTATAATCACTGAGAGAATAAAAAGACAGTATTTGACATAAATTTCAAGTTGGTGTTGCCATAAAACTACATTGGGAGAAGCTTGATTTTCTGAGTTAAAGGACTTCAACAAAGAACTTTTCCATTTGAATAATTCCTGCAAATTTGGGAATAAGACAAGAATTTGGTTAGGTGCAATTTTCTGGATAAAATAAAGAAGAAAACTGGCAAAGTTTTTTAATAAATAGGCTAGTGTGCTATCTTACTTTTACAGCTTCAAAGCAAACAGCCAAAGCCCGTTGCTCTCTAACTTGTTTAGAGTAGACACTTTCTGACCCATCTTCTTATAATCAAATGTTTTGGTTGGTGGTCTGATCGACTACTTCCTACACCCTCACCACATCTTACCACCCCTCATTTCAACTTATTTCTCTCTTTTTCCATAATTACATTTCAGCCTATTGCTTCTCAAATAGCAAAGTGGGGGAGGAGGTAAAGAGGATATTTACATACCTTGCTCTCCTACTTTGAAAAGTATATGAAACTTGAGTGAGCCCCTTTTACAGTTGTTTTTGTTGTTGCTGTTATTGCCATATTCACACACATCTCTTCTAGAGTGGGGCCCTTTTGTGATACACAAGTCCTCATCATGGCCCATCACAACCGGAGGCTGATCCTCCAACACCTGTGCCTTTGAACATGAATATGCTGTTTGTCCTGCTCCCCTCTGCCTGAGCTGCCCTGGGCCTCCTCCGCCTCCTCCTCCTCCACCCCCCTCTCCTACCCAATTCTCTCCTCCTGTCATTCATCATCTAACTCCAAAGGCAAGCACTTGGTGAAACACCTCTCCATCAACAGTGATCTCCAACCCCCGGCACTGGCCTAACAGCCTCAGAATCATAACTGCTTATGGCATCTCTCCCACTAGCCCACTCATCTCCAAAACAGGTACATCCATCCAAGGGTCATGCAAGGGAACTCACTGAGCTATGGAATGGAAATACTAAAATTTCTTTTTTATAAAAATGTTTTATCTAATAAAGTAATAACTTAAGCCTTTATTTGGTCTCTATCTCAGTTCTCTAAGGCAGTCTGGTACAAGAGGTGTCTTTCAGAAAGAATGGGAGTTAAATATCGTGAAAGGTTGGACATGATCTGCTTCTCGAGCACAGCCATGTACAAAAGTTTTGAGGGTCATTTATGTGGAATTATAGGTTATATTGGCTAGTTATAATGAAATGAGCCCTCCTCAAATGGCAAATATCCTAAAACCTTTAAAGAAACTAGAGGTTCAATATGTTGTTAATGTAAGCACCAGAGCAGAGTTAAAAAAAAAAAAGGTAGACCTGACATGTCTTATTCCTAGTGGTTCTTCCTTAACCAATTTACTAGAGAAAAGTAATGATATTAAGTTCAATTTGACATGAAGCAGTCTCTCCAAATTCAAAATTAAAAAATATCTGAAAAATGGATTTGCATTCACTATCATATATAATTAACATTATCGTGAGTATCTTGAGATTCTCATCAGTGATAATATGATGCCATCACCACTAGCAATACCTTAAATATTTCACTTTTAATTTTTTTAGATTTATATTTTCTGTATGTTTTATATATACTTTTAATTTTATATAAAACATACAACTAACACACTTATTGTGGGTGCATCAAAAACTTTTTACCTGATGGGATATGTCATCAAAAGCTACTGAAAACCACTGGACTAAACTATTTCTTATCTCAGTCTTATCTTTGAATTTCCAGTCCTTCATTCATTCATTCAAAAACTATTGAGAGCCTACTATGTACCACACATTAGAAACAGAATGATAAAGACATAGAAACATGGTCCTTGCCATGTGGAGCTTACAAGATCTGTCTGTGGTGGTAATCAAATAATTATCCAAAAGATTGTATAATCAAAAACTGAATTCAGTGTTGGGTAAGAAACATAGTTAAAGTAACACTGCCAACAAAACAACTTGAGATTTCTGAGGGGTGGGGAAGCTTCCCAGGAAAAGTTACATCTGAACAGGAACCAGGAACCAGAAAGATGAGTAGGAGGTACTAGTAAAAGGGTGGGCTGCAGCAGAGGGTGGAGAGGGAGGAACTACAAAAGTTACATCTGAACAGGAACCAGGAACCAGAAAGATGAGTAGGAGGTACTAGTAAAAGGGCTGGCTGCAGCAGAGGGTGGGAGAGAGAGGAACTACGCGGGACACAGAAAAAATACCAAGAACTGCCAGGGTACGGAGAGCCTGGAAGAGTCATAAGAAGTTGGAGGGCCAGTTAGCTCACTTAGGTAGAGCATGGTGCCGATAACACCAAGGTCAAGGGTTCAGATCCCTGCACCGGTCAGCCACCTAAAAAAAAAGTTGGAGGGAGAAAAACCAAGAAGGCTGGAGAAACAGGCAAGGGTCAGAGCAGAGCGAAGGCACTCTAAGTCCTCTATTCACCTTATCCCCATTGCCATCGAGCCCCCTTAGCTCTCACCCTCTGTTTCCTTAGTCCCCACCACTTCATTCTTCTAGTCACTCCAACCAGCCTGCTTCCTGCCTCCGGACCTTTGTATATGATGCTGCCTGTGATCAGGCCCTTATTTCAGAGCCCAGCCTGGCGAATTCCTACTCATCCTTCAAGTCTCACCTTAAATGTCACTTCTTTCTAGAAGCTTGCCTAAACCCTCGAACACCCTCCTCTCACTCTCATATACCAACTCTGTTAACTTTCACTCATAGAAATCATCGTAATTAATAATTATATATTCATATCTGTGTGTGCTTTTGAATATCTGAATCTCTCTCTAGACTCTAGATTTTGGTAGCAAAATCTAGCCTATCTTGTTCATTGCTGCCAGAGCCAAGTAGGTGCAAAGTTAATACCTATTTAACTAGAATTTCCCTGAACTAATCAGCTCAATTTAAGTTTAAATTCTAAAAAAATTAGCAGCACCCCCTCCCCACCACACACACACACACACACAAAGGAATGGCAATATTAACAGTTTTATCATCTCTGTAACTGTAGGGTTTAGTTCAGGTAATAGTAAAAGTCAACAGTTAACAAGCATCAAAATAAAGATTCCTCTGACTATTAAAAAGATTAATAATCTAAAAAAAAAATCACCACTGGCATATTGTCCATGTCGCAAAGCCAACAAAAACCCATACCCCAAAATGCCTATTAACAAATTATCATTGTGAAAGCAAAATTTAAAGACTAACTTAGGCTCGTGAACAGAAGAGAGAGAAAGAATTATACATTCAATTCCCCAAGCCAATCTATTGTTTAAAGGTAGTTGAAAATCTGCCAAAAATCTCTGGGGAAAAAAAAAAGTCAACATCACTTACTGGCTACCATTTTGTTCAGGGTCTGGACTGCCTCTGCAGACCAGTTAATTTAGCTATTAAAATAGCACCCCAAAAATGAAAGAGAGGAGAACGTTCTAGGATGTCTTGATCATATTTGAATTACAAGAACTATCAATACGCTAAAGTCCCAAATTGAAGTCTCCAGGATCTATTTCTAATTGTTAAATATACTAAACAGAAAATACTGTTTTTAAAAGTAAACGTTTAACTCCCCTGCACTCAAGTATTTGTGCCTCAGGAGTTTTCATATGTGAGCTGGCAAGAAAGAGAGACTGGTAGTAGAAACTGGGAGTGGCAATAATTTGACAGTTCAGAGATGTATTTCTCCAGTAGTTTTAAACTCTTTACCCTCACGATCTTTTTATACTCTTGAAAATTACTGAGGAGCTTGTCTGAGTGAGTTATTCCTATTGATATTTACTGTATTAGAAATTAAAACTGAGAATTTAAAAATGTATTTATATTAAAATAACAAATACATTATCCTATTTTTTATAAATTTAAAAAGAACTATACTTTTGAAAGAATCATGCAGTGAGAAAAGTGGCACTGATTTGTATTTTCATAAATCTTTGTTTGGCTTAGTAGAAGACAGCTGGATTCTCACATACGATTCTACATTCAATCTGTTATAACATGTTATATTGGTTGAAATACACATATATAGAAAATCCAGTCTTGTGCATGTTGTTGGAAGAAGTAGGACTTTGCAGAACCCCTGAGAAGGTCTCAGAGACCCCAGGGGTTCTTGGACCACATTCTGAGAACCATTGCCTTACTTATGTGCAGTCCTTCTACTATAGCAGATAACCAGGTGGTACCAGACATTTTAGACTGAGCACTTACCCAATACCTGACCGAAATGTCACTGTTCCACAGTTTTACAAATCTCTTTAAATGTCTCTTACATCAAGGATGTCAACAAGTCTAATAGTCAAGGAAGAATGCATTATATGTTTTTTTAAATATAGGAATGTTTTATGTACACAACTAATTATTTTTAAAAGG